TTTATATAATGTAAGATGACTAAAATGAGTAGATTATAATTTTATCTAATAATGTATTGTAACACAAGTACGTTTGTAATAATCTTATAGTGGTGGGTAGCGTTTAGAGAGATGACTCGAAGGCACCGCATTGTGTTCTGGTAGAGAGTTTGTTCCGTATAATTGCAAATAGATGGTGATTCTATAAACGCAATTTCTACTGGTAATGCTTAAAGAGGTACTAGCATTTGAAATGTAAATAATAATATACAGCATTTGATATAGCGTCAAATCTAGCTTACATAAGCCACTCTAAGGCGCTTTATAGTACGTAGATACATATGTATATAATTAATACAATTAACATATATGTAAATCAATACAATTTTTGAGAAATTCGCAGGAGCTGCCTTATCAGGCGCTAACTACTTGTCCTATGCCACCGGGCTAATATCTCCCTATGTGTGTATGCCTGCGTGTGTGCTTGAGATGTAATGTGTTCTGTTTGTAGTGGGACCGTACTTCCAATAGCATGATTTATAGTGCCACCCAACTTGAATGCTACAGCACAGAAACCGCAACATCCACCCCAGACAATTGTATACTCCATCTGGGTTGTTTGAGTTGAGTGGGCAGGAGAAAAACACTTTCTCTGAAGATCGAACCCCGGTCACCTGCTCGGAAGGCCGGTGTGTAAACCACTCGACCAATCCGCCCATAGATATAAGTATATCAATGGTATTTTAAAGCTATACACTGTACATTGCTCAGATTTATGTAAGAAACGTGAATAGAGAAATAATAAAGAAATAATCAATATAAATAAAAAAGCAAACATCTTAAATAAAATGATTGATTATGTTGGAACTGTGTCTACTGGTGAGTAATATACCTGTATATGTAACACACAACATGTATACAACTAGTGATCAATACAACCAGTCCTCTACACACATAACAATCGGTTTTTTTTCTTTCGAGGTTAATCGTTATCAACGTAAAGCTATATATACTGTATGCATTTAGTTATGATTCACTTCCCGTCATGGATTTTGAACCCGTCCATGTGATAACGGGTCAAACTCCACAACGCCTCTCGTGTGGACCACAAACCCGTACCGGGTATCGTAACGTCTTCCTCTGTCAGAATGTCACCATAACAACACTCAGCAAGCATCCGAACAGTGGACGTGGACAGGATCAAGGATAAACGCCGACACTCCTCACAGTTAACTCCAACTGGCATCAAGGTATGCAGAAAATATATTTCACTGAGCTAGTCTATAATGCTTGATGTTCATAACATTTTGATTGATATGAGTTATTGCATATATAATTGGTGATGAGTTCTGTCATGCAAAAACAATATAAAGCTTCTCGGTAACCAGGATTTCTTTCAGTTAAGTTATCTGGTTTGTTATATCAACAGAAACTTCCTTAATATCATAACATTATCATTATTATTATGGTGTATTACAACTTTGTATATGGGTTTTGAGCTCAAACTCTTTTGTTATTGATACGTGTGCACCAAGAAATACACACCAGTACAGATAAACACCTAGATATACACACCTGTACAGATAAACACCTAGATATACACACCTGTACAGATAAACACCTAGATATACACACCTGTCCAGATAAACACCTAGATATACTCACATGTACAGATAAACACCTAGATATATTCACATGTACAGATAAACACCTAGATATACACACCAATACAGATAAACACCTAGCTATACACATATGTACAGATAAACACCTAGATATACACACCAGTACAGATAAACACCTAGATATACACACCTGTACAGATAAACACCTAGATATACACACCTGTACAGATAAACACATAGATATACTCACCAGTACAGATAAACACCTAGATATACACACCTGTACAATATAATTGTGTGTATGCACGCAGAGGTAAAATAAGGCTCATGTTTGTAAACACGTCTGCAATTAGATATTTTAATGTACACCAGTATATAAGCAAAGACGTAATAGCGGCAGTACAAACAAAGGAATTTGTCCAATTGTCAGGGCATGCTACCCTCCTTTTCAAGACAGAAACGTTGACATTTACATATAACAGCAAATTATAAAGCAAAGCAAGTGTATGCACACCTGTAAAATTGTATAACACATATGTCTAAACATGTAAAATAAAACTACACCTATACACTTAGGTATAGTTAAAGTTACATTTATATTTTATTGATTACATTTTCATAGCATGTAGGTACACACATATACAATTACATATATGTTCACCAGTATAATTATATAACATGTAAATACATGGTCTCAAGTAAAATAATATAAATAATGTACACCAGTAAAAATATAGCTGTATACCATGTTTGTACACACATGTACCGTTAAACTACATACATGTACACCATTATATGTATGCTACATGTATATACACACATGTACAGTTAAACTACAGATATGTACACTAGTATAGTTATGTTACATGCATGAACACACGTGTACAGTTAAACTACAAATGTGTACACTAGTATAGTTATAATACATATATGTACACACATGTACAGTTAAACTACATGTATGTACACACATGTACAGTTAAACTACATGTATGTACACACATGTACAGTTAAACTACATATATTTACACTAGTATAGTTATGCTACATGTTTGTACACACGTGTACCGCTTAACTACATATACGTACACCATTATAGTTATGCTATATATGTGTACACTTATATAGTTATGCTACATGTATGAACACACGTGTAGAGTTAAACTACAAATATATACACTAGTATAGTTATGCTACACATATTTGCACACATGTACAATTAAACTACACATATGTACACTAGTATAGTTATATAACATGTATGTACACACATGTACAATTTAACTACGTATATTTTTTCCAGTATGATCATATAACATGTATCTACACATATGTACAACTTCACTACATATATGTACAACAGTAAAATGATATAGCATGTTCCTACACACATGTACAATTTAATTACATATATGAACTTCAGTATACTTATATAGCATGTGTCTACACACATGTACAATTTAATTACATACATGTTCTCCGTTATAAATATATAGTATGTATCTACACAAATGTACAATTTAGTAACATAGATGTGCACCAGTATAGTTATATAGCATTGATGTACATACACCTACAATTAAACTACAAATATGTACTCGTATATAGTTATATAACATGTATGTACAAACATATACAAATTAACTACATAGATATGCACATGAATAGTTATATAAAATGTATGTACACACATGTACAATTTAACTACATATATATTTTCCAGTATGATCATATATCATGTATGTGCACACAATGTAATAATAACTATTTGACGAGATACCTCCCCTGGAACGGTAACAGAAGTAAGTCAGGACAAAGCGCTTTGACGTTACATACGGTATATATTCAATGATCTAGGTAGAATTCCTATGATTGATTGATTGATTGATTATGTACATTATGAAACTTAAACAAACGGTGTGGTATGTGTGCCTGACACTGACAGTGCTATAATTAAAGTATTGTAATATG